GCAGGCGTCCCCTGAGTCCACCAACCTCACCTTCTCACACCTCCATGATCGGCCATCTGTCCTTCCTGCCTCCTGCTGGGGGAACGCTTCCCTTCCCAGAGGCAGGCGCTCCCCATGGATCACTTGTAAAGCCTCCAGATCTGAGGCCCTTATTGCATTCATCCAGCTACCCTGGCCCACCGGCCCCCTCAGTCCATGTCCTGGTCCGTTCTGGGAACCCCTCTCCCCTACCCAGCGTTGGCCCTGAACGAGCTGTAGACGTCCGGCCCACCTGCTCCAGTACTGCGGGCCCATCACCAGCAGGGATCGTCCCCCGCCCCTGCCCGGGTCTGAGGGCACGCGGGCCCTCATAGGGGTCATCGCCTCCCTCCACCGTCCTGGGGCCCGGGGAGGGTCCCGAGGCCCGGGTGGACCTGGCCGGGTCTGGCGCTCGGTAGCACCCCCTGAATCATGTTTGCATGAGGAAGCCGGGAGGGTTTGGGGGAGTGGGCGGACCTCGCGGGCATCTCTAGGGGCAGGGCGGGGCCGGGGTCCCCAGAGGTGGGGTCGGGCCCTGGGGCGGCGTGGGGCGCGCCAGGGTCCCCAAGGCCCGGGACGCACTGCACACGAGCGCAGCGACCCAGGTCCGAGGGCACCCCCGCACCAGGGACGCTTTCTTTCCCCCCACGCACGCCCCCTCAGGGACCGCGCTGGACCCCGCGTGACCGGAAGTGCCCCCCCGTTGGCACCGGCGGGGCGGAGCCCGGTGGCGGCACTTCCGGTGCCCACGCGCCGCCGCCGCGCAGCTCCGGGGCCGTCACTTTGTGTAGCACGGGGCGCGCAGGCCCCGGCCCGGCCCCGGTGTCCGGCGGCGGCTCAGCGGCCGGCGCGCGCGGTGAGTGGGCGGCGCGGCGAGTGGGTGGCGAGGCCGGCGGGAGGCGGGCGCTGGCGGCAGGTGCCGGCGGGCCAGGCGCGGGCATGGGGTCGGGGTCGCGCCGCCCCTCCCCTCGACGCTGGCGCGTGAGGCCGCGGGGAGGCGGTGGCGCGCAGCGGGACGGGCCGCTCCGGGGCGGGCCTGGGGCTGGGGGGGGGGGGCCCGAGCGGCGCTCTGGCCT